CTGGGGGATCAAACCCCAGCCCCTGTGTCTCTCTAAGCACATTAAAACTATACTGCAAGCTATCTGCTGAGCTATCTAGCTGGCCTTTTTCTCTCCTTTTTAAAATTCCTTTGTTGTCCCTTCTTTTCACTTTTCTCTGATCCCGCTCTTTGTCTCTTTTGACCTATTACTTTTGTAATCATGTGCTACTTTACATTGTGTAAGAAATGCACAAACAGAAAATGTAGTTTGAAGATTTTGACACATATATGTACATTATGTGCTAGAGTTTGTATGTCAAAATTTAAATGAAAGGAATAAAAGAAGATAAATGAAATTGAAATAAATTTCCTTTCTGTTATACAATTAACAGTGTACCCTAAGTACTTTTATATGTCTTGCATTTTCCTTTTTATCATGTATCTTGGAGATCATCCCGAATCATTAAAAACTATCCTCATACTTTTTGTACCATAATTTATTTTGTCAGTGCCATATTGATATTTACGCTTCTTTATGATTTCAAGCAGTGCTGTCATGAGTAACTTTGTACATAAGTTAGTGTGCATTTGTGCAAGTAAATGTGAATAATTTCCAGATATGGAATTACAGGATTAAAGCAGCATGTACATTTAGTTTTGATAGATTGTCAGCTTGCTTTTCAGATATGGTGCCATACTACTTTCCACTCCTACCAGCAACGTGGGAGGAATAGTTCTCCCCAACACCATCCTTAGCCTTGTTAATCTTTGCTACTGTGGTAAGTGAAAATGGAATCACAGTATCATTTTTAATGTGCATTTCAGTTACTATAAATAAAACTGAATATCTTTCCATATGTTTCTATCATTTCTCTTTGTGAACTTTTTGTTCAGATCTTTTGCTCATTTTTTCTCCTACTGGTTATTGATCTTAGTGATTGCCTGAGTTAACCCAGCGGAAGTAATTGTGTTTTGTTGATCTTGTGAATTGCAAATAGTTTTTCATAAATATTCAAGAACCTTTTGAGTTTGTTTTTTGTGGGTTTGCCACTCAGGCTTTTTTCCCCCTATGGTCAAACTTAATGTTTTTCTTTAATGGCATTTAGACTGCAAGTAATGATTAGAAAGAAAAAGTCTCAAGGACACAGACATTTTACTCTGAACAACTCTACCAATCTTCATCAGTAAAATAGAAGAAAGAACAGTGTCTTTGTTACTTTTTTTTGGCAGAACCGGGGATTGAACTCAGGCCCTTGTGCTTGCCAGGGAAGCTCTTATTCCACTGAGCCATCTCCCCGGCCCCTGTCGTTACTTTATTGTTATAGGACAGAATATCTGACGCTCAAAGTTAAAGAAGGAAAGATTTATTTTGGCTTAGTTTGTAAAGGTGCATAATTGGCTGGTTCCAAGGCAGGCTGGCATGGCAGATAGGCATCCAAGAGGAAAAATAGTCCATGGCAGGCGGAAGGTAGCAAAGCAATGAAGTAGTAAAGAACAAGTCCAAGTGACCTTAGCAGCTTTTTTCTTAGTAGTTCTTTTATATTCTGTCTAGTCTGTTAGACTTTGGGCAAGTGCCAGGCCAGTCTGTAGACCGATTTAGTAATCACACACCATTAATCCCAGTGTCACATACTCTAGATCCATCCACCTTGAAAAATCCCCACCTATGACTGCATGGGGCTTTAGGGAACATCTAGACATCAGCCATAGCAAACCACATAGGAGTCTAAATTGGGGAAATGAATAATTTAGCAGACTAAGGATCTCACAGTATATAGACTTGATTTTTAGGTTTTTTTTTTCTTCTATTTAGTTTTGACATAGATTTGGAGTACACTTGTATTAGTTAGTGTTCTCCAGAAGAGTACTGATTAATTTGAACAGAAGGGAAGCTGTTAGGAAGTTTAGTGAATCTAAGGATTACAAGAATGTTCAGAAAGTAGTAATAAATCAAGTGAACTCATACCCAGGATCCTGCATGAACCTCAACTTGGTCAGAGCTGCTGTTATACGTGACATCAGTGCCTCCAGAAACTGGATCCTGAAAGTAAAATGTACTGCCCCCATTTCTTTTCTTTTTCTTTTTTTGATAAATATATCTATCTTCTTTTCTTTCTTTCTTTCTTTCTTTCTTTCTTTCTTTCTTTCTTTCCTTTTTCGAACCAGTTATTGAACTCAGGCCCTTGCGCTTGCCGGGTGAGCGCTTATTCTACTGAGCTATCTCCCTGGCCCCTCCCCATTTCATTATGTTGCTTCTCTCAGAACTATAATGTTGTTTGTCTTGGCTTCCCAGTCACAGATAGAAGCTTTCAGTTGGACAGGTTGTTGTGAAAATTAAAGATAAATGAAGCTTAAATATTAATTTCTCCAAAAACTGGGTGATAGGGAGTTATTGTTTGGAGAATTTTTAATTTTTCTTTCCCTTTCATATAAAAGTCTCAGCTTTGTTGAAGAAGATGACCTGTCCATGAACGGTTTTGCATGTTTTGTTCATTCAAAAAACATTAAATACTTGAGTGATGAGTTTTATTAGTGCTTTTTGTCAGTAATGAATTTCATTCTAATAGATGTTGAGATGAGATTATTTTACATCTGTCCATTACATTTTTAGTCTGTTGGAGGAGAAATACTAGTGCATTTAGCAGTTTTGTTTAGCATCTATAGTTTCTATGGAAACAGACAGCATTGACCCAGAGTCTCTGAGGTTTTTTTTTTTTTTTTCTTTAAACATGTAGTTATTTTCACAATGGAAGAGCCTTAGATTATACTAATCCACTTTTATCTCACAGTGGTAAATACAGTCTTACACTAGTAATAAAAAAATCACAGGATTTGTAGCAGAAACTAGAATGGGGCAAATTCACGCTTCATGCTTTTAATAGGAACCTATAAATTAAAAACAGTAACTCACTTTTGCACATTAATTGGTTAAAAACTACACAGATACTCTAGTAAATATGGCACCAGACCTTTCAAAAAACCTGAGGTGTGTTGAGAAGTAGACTTCAAAAGAACTACAGTTTATGAGTTGTTGTGAGGGGGTATGAGGAGAGCGTTGATGTGCAGCTGACAGAAGGTTGTGACACAGATGTGTGTAGGGAGGTGAACTGAGGTTGCTGGAGATGTTTTGAATATGTACCTGTGCGTTTAATGTATTTCTAGGTAGCTCACATAAGGTGGATCCAGGTTTCTGCTCTTTTCCTGGATGAAAGCCACATGCACTGTTGTTCTCTAAAGTTATCACTTACCTTAAGACAGTATTTACACTTTTAAAACAAGCATTATAGTAGAGCTACTTTTATTAGAACAACTCAGAAGTATATTTAAGAGAAAGTTTAGGATTAGGGAGAAGTAATATTTTAACTTAGCATTAGAAATTGGCTTTAAGTTATTTTTCATTTTAAATTAGCATTTCCTATTTGTACTATATGTGTTTTAATATATTATTACAGGTGATATTTCCATCTAAAAGGTTTAGGAGTTAGATGTCTGCCTTCATTAAGGAAACAGTATTGTTGTACTGGGGCTTTCATTGGTTGACTGAAACCACTATTGGAAGTTAAAGTTACTTTTACCTGTGTATGCATACAATGGAATATCACTTAGTCATAAAAGGAAATGCAGCTTTGATGCAAACTGTAATATAGGTGATACTTGAAAATATTTTTACTAAGGCAAATAAGCCATATTCAGAAGGACAAACTTTGTATGACTTTTCCATACCTGTGGCAAATCTGTAGAGCCAGAAGGTAGAGATTACTAAGGGCTAGAAAGATGAAGGAACATGCATTTATTTAGTGGGTAGAGTTGGTGATTGGGTTGATGAAATATCTTAGAAATGGAATTTTCTAAGAAAATAGGAACCTATAAATTAAAAACAGTAGCTCACTTTTTATGTTGTCCCACTATCATAGAGGTCATAGATACCTGACAACACTGGGACAACACTGTGGATGTACTTAGTGCTACTAAATTATGTGCTTACAAATGACTAAATGGTAAACTTACATAAGATAGAAAAATCAGTTTTATTTCATCTCTGGCATTTTTTCCTAATTACCAGTGTACTACTGAGTACACAAGGATACTGTAAATATTTGTAAAGATTTGTTAAAATTCAGAGAAAATTCGTTTTCTTGCCAAAATTTGAGTGTTCAATTTGGGTATTTCTTACAGAACACAGCAATTATGGTGAATGTTCTGAAATTCCATCTATTCCTTTAAGAAAGTTAGAATTGTTCTCTGTGGGAGGCAGAAAAGCATTTAACTGTTTTTATATATGTATATAAACATAAAATGTTACATATATGTGATTATTATACTTCAGAAGACCAAAACAAAGAACCCTGAACTTTCTTTCTCAGTATTATAGATAGAATTCCTGTAGTGTTTAAGATTATATGTTGTTTATGCTGAATTACAGAAAAGAATATGTTCCTTTTTTTTTTTTTTTTTTTTGTCACTGGCTCAGCCAACCCTAGAGGTGGGGCTGGCTTGGCATATGGTACCAGGGATGGAACTGCGGTCCCTGCGCTTTGTCTAAGCTTGCTGAGCTATCTCACCAGCCCACAAGAGAATATCTTTGAAGTAAATGTCAAATAATTTGAGTAAATCGGCTTTGAGTAAATTAATTTTTAAGAGTCATAATAAATTAATTTTTAAGAGTCATAATAATTGATTCATATTACTAAAGTGAATTATGGATAACTTTTCTTTTTTCTTTTGAAGAAATTTTCTTAAACTGTTCAAGTGGGAAGAGGAACAAAGGAGGGAGAAGGGGAAAGGAAAGAAAGGACAAGAAAAGGAGAATAGAAGGAAAAAATGGAAATAAAGCTTTAGTAAATATGAAGAAGAAGGGGGTTGAAGGGAAGAGAGAGGAATAGGAAACAAGAAGCAATGTATAAATTTTCTATGGTGAATGTGATACATCTATATATACAATGTACCAATAAAATAAAAAGTTGAAAATGTTTTCTTAGCTTTTACATATAATGAAGTTAAAAGATGTATTTCCTAAAATTTTATCCAATTGTATTTCAGGTTGCAACAAGGACAATGTCAGAGCAGGCTGTAAAAAATGTGGCTACCGTAAGTACACAAAAAGCAACACTCTATACATTACTCTACGGGAAATGTTGCCTTTCGAGAATATGCCTTATAATCTGTTTTCAGAGGTCCTATGGGTAATCGTTTAGGCCTAAGCTATGGTAAGCAGCTGATTCAGAAATTCTCATTAGAATTGAATATTTGCTTTTCTTTTAGGTAAACCCAGCAGCAGCTATATATCTGATGACTAGCAAAAATGTCATGAAGTAGAAATAGTAGAAGGAAATAGAGAGTGTGGAAAAATTATACTTAAGAATATGTGTGTATGTGTGTGGGGGGGGGTTCCTTGTTTTTCTGGGCACTAGATGAAGAGGTCAAGGCATTCAAAACTATTTTTGAAGATTTTTTTTTATATTTCTTGAATTTGCTTGTCCTTTTGTGTAAGAGTCTGTCTTAGTTTGTCACTAAGACACAATACCTGATACCCACCAAGTAGTTTCTATTGGCTCATGGTTTGTGGAGCTGGCTCTAAGACCTAATGGCTTAGCAGTAGAATCTTGCTTATCACATGGTACCAGAAAGCAGAGACAGGGATCAAAGGAGGGGAACAGGAGACAGACCCTTCCTGGCCACGCCTCCCACCACATGACCCACCTCCTCCAACCAGGCTTTTAGCTGTGAACTCTTGCAGGGACCAGTCTCCCACTCAGATCAGCCCCCTACAAAAGCACATGGGGCCTTTCAGGGGGGCATCTAGATACTAAAAATCATGACAAGGTTTGTTTGTTCTCATGTTTTCATGGACAAAAAGCAATCAATCTTAGAGTTAATGTAATAGAATGAAAAGGTAAACTAAACTTGTGTAATTATGTGTAATACTATATGTATTTGTAATTTATTCTGTAAACAAGTATCATTTATCTAGTTAAATGTAATAATTCCTACAGCTTTACCAATAGCTATTACAGCTGCATTTGCTGATGTTTTTTAGTTCTTTGGAGACCTGTATTGTTAGTAACATTCTAATTCATTGAAATTTTTTTTTAAAAGAGTTTTTATAGGGCTGGTGAGATGGCTCAGTGGTCTAAAGCACCTACTTAGAACAAGCTTAGCAAAGCACAAGGACCGCGGTTCAATCCCCAGCACCACATGCCAGC